AATCGCCAGTGAACTTTGCATAACTGAAGGGAACTTTAATACCATGTTACACTTAAGGCTAACGACCTTTATTTAAGCATGACGGCCTAACATTTTAATCCTAAATTGCAGGACTCCATTGTCTTATTTAAGTAAGTTGAAACCTTATTTACAAAAAGTTTCTTTTGTAGGACTTGTTCTTTAAATAGACAAAATGATTCAACTAATTTCTTGTCCATTTTCATGAACAAACTCGTTGACACAATCTGACCTACTGTAGGTTATCATAAAATTGACTTGCGTGTATAGTGTGCAATAGTAGGTTTTATTCATGATTCACCTGGCGCGATCCGTACTGCACAAGGCAAGTCCATGCCATAAAGCTACATTGAACAATATTAAGAAAATATTTCTTCTACTTCTGCGTAATCGATGCCCATCCCTTACTCACGATCCTTATCGTCTCCATCAACAGACCATCTGATTACCAATGTGTACACCGTTTTGTCGCCCATTGAGTTTCAAGTTCAACAAGAGTTCAAGCTGACCGAGGACTCTCTCCACTGGTGCCACATAGGCGGGAAACCAGCCGACGCGGCAACGTTGATCAACTTGTTCCCCTCTCAACACCTACGGGCCAATTAGGGCCCCTAAGGTGGGGCAATTAGTCCCCCATGGGCCCCGCTCCTAAAAAAAATTCAGCTTGATGTTCACCCTAAACTCTCAGCACGGAGAGAGCGACCGATCACACTCCACATCAAACTATGGAGATTGGGCCCCTACAGCTGCACAAACTGATCGTGACTAATGGGAACTGACAACGATTGTCTTGTGGCGTACACGTTGCGACCGGTGGATGTGTGTGGTGTGCGTTCATGGATGTATCATGATGTGCGTTTCCTGTTCTGCTACATGCCGGAGGGGAGGGGCTTGGATTGTTACCCCTAGGGTGGGGGAGAGGGAGTCCATTTCTTGTGGCTAATGAATTGGACAGATACGACGGAAGTCTGTCTTTTCAATTTGTCATTTGATGTCATTTGTAGTCGATTTAGCAAATTGGAAATTTGATCCAGGTGGTTTTAGACTTTTACAGTATTTCTGCTGATAACACTACCCAGGACTTGAGCTAAGATCGTTGGGTTGTTGTTAAACAGTATCTTAGGTAACCCTTTGTTTAAATTCTAAGTCATAAAGGATAACCTGCACAGGGGATTTTTCCTAGTGAATGTTCACAAAGTGTCTTCACAGATCACATCTTACCATGGCTCACAGTGGCAAGTGCTAGCTTTTTTTTCTCTCTTTTAAAACATTGTGAGGGTAAATCAAATTAGGTTTTGCCCCTCACTGACGTATTAACACTGTACACTCAGTGTGTTACCTCCCGAGTAAAAGTTGGAAAAAACTCGAACCCGCGACTTCCTGCTTTCTAGTGCAGACGTCTTACCACTCGACCAACGAGCTAACGGGATCGGTTGGCTGGTTTGAATCTGATGTACATAGCAGCGGGTACCGCATTAACTATTCATAAGATGAAATTTTTTTTTTTTTTCACAGACCTTAATACGTCGGTGAAGGGCAAAACCTTATTTGATTTACATCACCCCGACGCAAACAATTGTGAGGGTAGTCATAAAAACATAGGGCAACGGCAACAAGTTCAAACAATGGTCACTTGCATAAAAACGTTTCACTGGTTCACAATGCACTACATGTACATCTGTTGCATACATTTGAAACTCTGCACCAGGGAAAACAGGGTTTGCCTGAAAACAAGAGCGAAGTAATGGCTCATTTCAATCCTTGAGCGGGGAACCAGTCTAAAAGCTCTCACATGTAGAGCGCTTTCATCTTAGTTAAAAGCACTAAAATCAGGATATGTTATAATTCTATTTGACTTCCAATATTTGGTTTGGATTTTGGAAACGAATAATCGAAACTACCCTTTAGTGACACATGCTCAAACGAGAACATCTCTGGAGCATCTCCCAATTGACCCCGCGGTCTCTGAATTTTGTAACCGCATTCACTCGGTAGCAGTCTTCTTGGTGCATGAATAGCCTGCCCACTTGACTGATCAGAGAGTTTCCAATCATTGTTTTGTGTTAAGGCCCAGTGGTCATTGAATCCCGCAGACTATACCCGTCATTTTTTGTTGGCATGACTGTGAGCTGATGGGAGCTTCCGTTGAAATCAGAAAAACATCATTCAGTTTGAAAAAAAAACATGTTTTTTTTCAAAATAGTATCTTCAATTTTTACCACCTTTTCTGAATACCAAATTATAATCCAACGTTGACAGCAATATTTTCACCTTTTTACCAGTATTTATTCTTGTGCACAAAGTCCAGGCATCAGCCTGACAAGTGACATTCGCTGAAGAGTTGATAAGACAAAAAATATTACCACGGAAACAGGATAAATCAGGAATTTTACGACGGCAAATTGTCACGCCCTTCCCCCTTTAATCTCCGTACACTGACAGCCAACAGTAGCCAAGGATCATTTTGATTGTAAGAGGCAAATGAAACAATCTATGATTGGGCATTGACAAGATGATTACGATAAGACGGCTGGCAGACGTACAGCAAGATTGTGGTTGTTGGGGGGGGGGGGGGTGATGGTCGGCGAGAGAGCGAAACAGTGAAGTGATTGATAGCAGAAAGTGCCTGTAATCATAGAGTGGTAATCCTCGGTTGTGTCAAGACAAGATTGCAAGCCGATGATCAACCGATGATGTTCCTGATGCGTTGCCGTGGCAGCAGGAGATGCAATCTTCTCTTTTCCGGGAGGGAATGACGAATGGAAATTATTAGACTTGGTGCAGTTACATTTGTATCCAGTGCTTAAAAAAAAGGGGGGAAAATGCGCCTTTTTTCAGGCAGCCCAATTGGAATTACATTTACATGAAGTAACACATGTTATGTACCGTTAGGCTCCATGCATTCTTAATGCAAATTTCTTTGGTACAAATGTAGTCATTATGTGTTGAGACCAAAGAACATGTACCGGTATTTCTGAAACTTTTTAACCAAAAGGTAGCAAAATGTCAAGTTTGTTTGTACTTAATAATACAGGGGAAGGACTTCATTTGACCCAGAACTGATGCTAGGAAATAAATGTGTATAGCAGGACTTTTCCAGAGAACTTGCAAGGGCTGTTCATGATAAAATATTAAAATTATAAATAAACAAAGAGCGGGTAAAGTGGCATCTGTTTTGTACATTAGAGGTTTCTCCCGTTCCATGCTTCACTGAGTACAGCTCATAAAACTCATGGTTCAGCGCACGTACAAATTATCCTCTGCAAATTGTACATTGTCTATTGCACCTTCCAGCTTTGTATGCATTAGCCAGAAATATGGTAGCATGCAATATATTTCAGGGCTGTCTCGCATGTAACGAATATTCAAATAGCTTTTTGCCGCTTTGAATATTCGAAAACAAACTAAGCACATACCCACATGACTGTGATGTTACTTTTAATAATGTTGCGGTGTTTTGGTGCCACTTTTTTGTCAACGGTAACCATTTTGTCAACAGTGTTTCATTGTTTCTATCCTTGTAGCAGGTTAAAGCCAAAATACAAATGTACTTACTGCAAAATACTCCATATTGATCGCCACACGCAATTTTAACTGGCGCGCTCTGCATGCAAGCTTTGACCGGCGCGGCACACAGCTGCAATTGACAGTTATAATATCCGAATATTTGGTCGAACACAGTTTCGAGTAAGCGAATATTAAATTATGAAAAATGGACAGCCCTAATATATTTACTGCTCATACCGGTACATGTATATTCTGGCCTTCAAATTGAAATTGCTTTTTAATGAGGAGTCAACGGTTACGTAAGATCAAAGAGGATTGACCTGTGACTTAGCACACGGTAGCTGTTAGCTTGGCAGACTGGCGTCAACTTGCAAATAGCTGGGTTCGCCACATTTTAATTGCTAAAAGAGAAGGATAATGCCATGAAACGCGAGACATGAAGTCGGTGATCCATCATTAACATAGACATGTAGTGAGTTGTACGGTATCCCAATTCAGAGTCAGGGTTATAAAAACTGCAATGAAAGATCAATTTGCTATGAGACCAGGCTGTTTTTTATTTGATTAAATTTGTTACAGGTGGAGAGAATTACCATTTTTTTGTTTGTATTCATTAATCTAATTTTATTACTGGACATATTTTAATGAGATACACAAATACCGGTAGTACTGCAAATTTGTATGTTTTCCAATGGCACCAAAAATGAACAGAAAGTTCAAAATCTGATGTTTGTTTTCTTTTACAATTTGAATAAAAGAACACTTCTCTTATCATGATTGAGAATGTGTGTTATAATCAAGACCTTTTGTGGGCTATCATCAGCCATCACTTAACATCGACACAGACGCACTACATTTTCCTTGTTCTTAGTGGGATAATGAATTTATCGTCCATTAAACCTGACACACAGTAAAGATGGAATGCACACGCTGTAGGAACTTTCCAGCGGTTATCCAATACACGTCCGGCAGAATAGTACGCACATGCGATACGCGGAGTGCGATATAAATACATACATACCGGTACGGCAGAGATGCCACCAATATATCAATGAAAAGCATGAAACACTACTAAAACACCTGAAACTACCCTTACCCCCTTCCAAAAATGTGTTTTCTGGATGTTTCAGACCAAATCCAACACTTTTAATTTGTCACACTTTTTGAAAAAAAAGCTGAATTCAGGTTAAAACCTGAAAAGTGGCATCTCTGGTATCGGTATGGATATCACACTGTTATAATCACCACAGCGCGCACATGATGTACGCGGAGTGCGATATGAACCATGGTATATGGCATATCACACTGTTGTTGCCATGGATCGACCAATCAGGATCAAGGATTCAAGTTTGCTTGAAGATAAACACAGGAGCATTGAGTAAATGCGTACAACCAACACGTGCCTGTGGTTCCAACCATAGAGCAAGGATTGTTATTGCTCCTATTTCATAGTAGGTCTTACACTTGAGTCTTACCTCCACGTTTTCTAATGGGCCTTCCTGCTGGCTACATGGTCCTATGAGCTCCAACAGCGGTGATCCTTCCATACCAAGCATTCAATGCAGATCATCGGAAGAAAAACTAACTCACCAAGCGATCACCAACAAAAAACAACGTGTAAAAATAAAAGGTCGACGCTCTGTTTACATTCCATGCAAAACTTCCCGGATCACTTCCAAAATGATTTCCGGTGCATCACCGAAAGGATCACTTTCAGTTTCTTCTGAATAAATCTCAAAGTTCAGAGGTGAAACCTTGAATAAAGTGAGTCGTGCCTGACTACGCAAGGATGAAAACCAATCCAAATAAAAATGATTCTGCAGTGGTATAGTTCCAAGTGAAATGTCAGGATAATGTAGTACCCATGGAATCAGACAGTATAAATTCTTCCTGCGTATTATCCCAACGTGAGAAAAGTCACTGATGCAGAATGTGGCAGTTGGTTTACTGCGGCGTAACAAGCAACAGAGCCAGTCCAAGCTGCTTGGAATCTCTCCAGCTTTCTAGATGACCAGCCGACCGACCAGGCCTGCATTCAGGCATACAGCTGCAGTGTGAAAGGGTTAGTTCCGTTAACGAGACATTAAAGCCGGACGAGGAAATACATGTACAATGTACCTTAGTCGATGACGGAAAAGTATGGCACCACACGTGGATAAAATCAGTAAGACCAGCTAGCTGCAGGTTTTTACACATGCTGTTGAAGAAATGAAGTCAATTATGCCCGACTTTCAAATGAAATTGACTCATCTGTAGATCAAGCAACATGCTAAAGGTGCAGGTAGCCCCTTCAACCAAATCCTTTGTAAAACTGTGGCTAATTTTTACGGATTCCACATATGCCTTGGTCAACTGAAACTTCCTGGTATATGGCTATAAAGGACAGTCGTAGAAAGTGTCTGGGAAACCTTGGCGGAAACAGAACTGAAAAGTAGATTGAACTTGTGCCTGCCAAGATAGGGAAACTTTCTGCAGGGGGAGTTTAAAGGTACATCCGTGTGCCTTGCAACTGCTGCAGTTCACCCATGCTTCTCTCCATGCGTTGCTGACTCTGGAGGCGACTGCCCCTTTAATGCAGGATGTTCATTTGCCTGACCGGTTCCCAGGTATGGCCTACATGTTACATCAGACCCCAGGGACCACCTCAAGGTGACGGGATACCAGGTGCCCTTGTTGCACAAATACATGCACCATCCTTCATAACAGGCATTTAAAGGTGGTGTACAAACAAAGTAATTAATCTGACACCTTTTCTAAACATTTTAAAAATTCTTTAAAATTCAGAGACACAAAGATCCTCCAATTCAGATGAACGTCCTATCTTGGTCATTCTCAATGTGACACTTCCAATAACTTGTTTACACTACGTTATAAAACTGTTCTCACTTTAACACTCTCCAGAGGTTGCTAGCCGATGAATACCTGCGACTCCACCAGCAGTTATCCAAACACAGAACAGCGTTATCCAAAAGCAAAACTGTACACTAACATTCCTCCAGTAAATGCCCTCTGACAAAAGTGCACTGACTGAGCGTGGTTCTGGAATATATACAACACGGCACACACAGTCAATTCATCCACTGAGTAGTGATACGGTCTAGAACCAATCTTTTGGGATTTGGTCCTCTCCCAAAAACAACCAAAATATTTTCCCGAGTTCAGTGGACTTTGCCCATGTCCTGCAAACTGTTTCTGTCCCTCACGCAGATGTTGTGTTCAGCTTAAATTCATAACAAGCGCTTCGCTCTGTGTGACATTCCAGCTGGGAAAGTTCACATGTTGCACATTTGTACCTGGTAGATTTTGTGACTTCAGAGCACTGTTCCACATGTAGTTTGTTGAAATCCCACATATATCGGTCTATTTTTAGGACTTTGATCGAATCTCATGGAATGATGAGTGAAGTGTTTAGGATGGCCATTGAGGGACGACACATATGTGTTAAATTTGTATCAGATTCTACTGATGTGAATTCATTCAGTGGTAGTTTCCATAGCGAGCAGCTTGCCTTGCAAAAGAATTTCAAGAGGTTGAGAGAATTCACCTTGGCCAATTTTATTCACTAAGTATTTGAAGGTAAATAAACAACATTTTTTTGTGCTGTAATTTTCAGAAATGGATGGATTTTGGGGTTAGTATTTTATAGCAAATATTATTACACTGACCTGGTTAAAGTTGTGTGTTCATAAATGCTGGAGAAAAAAAAAACAAGAAAAAAGTGTTGTTTTTGTAGTTTGGTTCCCTGACCCTACTTCAGACGAAACGGTGCAATTTATAGACATCAGAGAATTGTCCGATCAGGGAACCAGACAAGCTGACTTGCACCCCTTCACGGATGTGTAACTGATGGCAAACAAAATGCGGACTTTAAAACTAAATTTGGTAAATTGGGGGCAGTATTTGAAAAAAAGTCAGTTTTTTTCCAACGATGGTTGGCTGACCATCGTTGGAAACTACATGTACACTTTTCTTGAAAGTGACAGCACACCAGATGCCATGATTTCACAGGCGACTATTATTCACTTTCAGTCAAGAAAAATATTTCATAAATAATTTGGTAGTTATGTTTTTTGATGTTTGCAAATGTTGTAAATATTAACTTTAAGTACATCTTTTAATAACTTTATGATACCACAAGCGCAGGACAGAGTGAACTGAAAGCAAAAGTACAGCAGGCCAGTTGTTTGGCCAAACGTAAGCAAAACGTGCTACACAGATAAATAGGGACGAGTACACAGGTCTGTAAATTTGCCCAGTGTTGACAATCTGGATTTCCCTGGATCCAGGGTCTGTCCTTTCGTCGAAAACAAAAGCGCAGTGGGGACACCCGGGCAGCAAACAACGGTCGGTATTTTTAGTTTGTTCCGGACATCAAATAAGGACATCTGTTGGTTACATTGACGAGACTTGGTGTGACAGAAAAATACAAAATGGTGACTTTCTTCCCTCTGCAAATCAAAATACCTTGTTATAACCATACTATTTGAACTTTGAAGGAGAAGGAGTGCTTTCAGTTGGGTGTAAAATATCTCATTATTGACGATACGTGTTTTGTGTACAGAGCACATCATACATGTACATTGTACAGGGCTGTGAGTGACCACTGATAAAAATAGCTGAAAACAGCTGAAAAAGGTGTAAAAAAGCTGAACTTTGGAAATCTCCTATACTCTTGTGCACAGCAAGTGAGGGAAAAAGCTGAAATCCAAACGTTTGACATGAACAAGTCAATGTTGCACTGGACCTGCGGAATTTGCCATGCAACGTGTATCTTTAAAATCTGAAACTTGTTATTTGTTCGGCAGGTAATCTCTCTTGGAGATAGAAGACATTGAAGAATCTTACATGTATACATACAGATGTAACAGGGACATAATAAAATATGGACCAGGAATGGGCCATGTACGGTACATGTACCGGTACACACAGAGTAGATCATTTTGCGAGACTATCTACCAGTAGGTATTAACATGTATCACAATATTGTTTGTGAGCTGAAATTTGGCAATGATAATAAGTCATTTGATATACATGTACATGCTCTTGCAACATTAAAATAAAGTTTTGGTTCCAAGCATTAATGTTACAAGTTTGACATACATGTACATGTACATTGTAACCCCACATTGAAATTTTACATGCGTGCAAAATGTACACATATACGTATTTCTCCTACATGTAACTTGTCGGCAAATATACAAGCCTTATCGACTAAACACGGCACCGACTCCAATAAAACTCAATTAGTTTAAAGGTTAAATGATTGAATATAGCTAGGGAAAAATTAATAAGGAGGCCATATGATGGATGAAACACACACACACATACACCGCAAACGGAGACAGCGCAGTGGAACCATGCGAAACAAAACAATAAAATGACGCTATCATTCACATATTAATTAATTCTCAAACCAAGCGGATCTGTTGCAGGGAAACAAACACCGCTTGTCACCATACGCCGGATGACCTGGATGATCAACACGAGTGGTAGACTTGACCTAGTCCCCAACTGTGAAACAAAAACAGCCACAAAGAACTGGCACTAGGAGGTGAACTGGAAGTGTTTCAGGGCCATTTGCAGTTGATTCCGTTCAGAATTTAAACTCCCGGTAAGAAGTGGATTTTATTCCGAAATGTCCGCGGTAACCAAGCCTCCTGTACATTATTCAACAGCATAAATTCACAATTCCCAAACTATGTTGATGTTGTTGTGGAAACATCCTGTGGTATTTTTTTTCCGCAAAGGTTTTAAATGTCATCGTTGCGGTCACGAAATAACCAAACGTCAACATTAAAATACCTCGGCCATACTTCAGTAAGGTTCATATGAGCCACTCCAAACATACAGATTCCAATGGCCTCATTTATTAAACGTCAAATCGTTTGGGTTTTTCTCTCAAGCAGTCCAGAAGATCTCATGACGATCTAAGGAAATGAGCCCACTCCACCCTGGATGCAAAATAAACACTGCCGTGCCACACCGTCAGCCAGTCCTGCCAATAAACGTTTCGTGCCGCAAAACTCTTTTGGTCTTTTCTTTTCTTTTACTTTTGTTTTTGATTTCTTTCTGACAAATGGATAGAGATCATGACTAGAAACAATTTTTTAATATTTTCCTTGTGAAAGCCAGGGAGGGCAGCTGTTAAAAAGTGCAATGCAATTTGCCTGCTTATTAAGTTGAGCTTTGAGGTAAGGTACCCATGCGTCTCTTTTCAATCACAGCAATTTTTAATAACTGTTGCACTGATGGTTACAGTCATTCCATCATTTCAATTTTTAAAGATCCTCTTCGTCATTCCTGTCTACATGTAGTCCCCCCCCCCCCCCCCCATAACAAAAAAACACAAAATCGTTAGTTTTATTAAAGGGAAAAAAAGATAATGAGAAAAAAACATAATTCCCAAACTAATTCCAAGACTTCAACAAAACTATTCCAAAATATTCTTGGAACATTCCTAAAAATTACTTTCCACCCCCCCCCCCCCTACGTTTTACAGTCAGACCAGTGAACACAATGTACCGGTACACAACAGTGTATAAATTTGTTTAAACATACATGTAGAAAGCACTAAAAAAATATTAAAAAACCAGCAATTTCGGTAGCAAAACATCCATGGACTCTTCATACAATGTAACACCAACTTATCATCAAATTAATTTCAGCTTTCAAAACTATAATTTTGAGCATTAGTTTGGATTACTTAGCTTGGGACCAAACCATCCACCGATGAATAGATGTTAATGTACTCATAGGATTCAACTGTTTCATTCCAGAAACACGAGGACTTTGAAAAACATTCCTATTAATGTTGTCACCTCTGCACCTCCCGATTCCAAACCCACCAACTTTCAGTAGCGACCCAAGAAACATCCATTCTGCATTCCCTCCTGGTTGTTTTCTTAAGTGTTCAACATGTGCATACCTGGGATGTACCGGTGCTTGATATTAAGTTTCCTGTTCACGTTACCGTCGTTGATGGTCTAAGATCGCAACCGTCTTGACACGAACACCTCCCGAGTGGTTCAAATTCCCCTTGAACTGCTTTGCTTAAATCAAATGCTTCCAGGAACTCAAGTATTACATGTCCTATCTCAGCTTCCAGGTGATGGCCTTTACAAAGCTCTAGTTCTTTTTTTTTTCTTCTTTTTTTTATTCTTCGTTTTTCTTTGTCTTCTTTTAAATGGCCAGCAAGAGTGTGTGCGATTTTTTTCTTCCGTCTTTAAAAAGAGGGAAAGGATCTTGTGTATCTTCGTTTGTGTGTCTTTGTTCTGAATTGTTTGAAGGGCTTGAAATCCGAGTCAGACGGGTGATCATGAATTGGAAACAAGCTGGTCAAGGTTTTTGAGGGATATGTGTGGGAAATGTAAGACTTGAGTACCTGGAAAACGGGAGACTTTGAAAATAAATCGAAGGTTTTGATGTCAGTTTTGTTTTTTAGTACTGGAAGGACTATTTTTTGCCAGCAAACAGAGTTAGATCTTATTTTTTTCCGCCGTTTTTAAAGGGAGAGAGTGGGTTATTGGAATCGTTTCTCAATATGCAACTTTCAAAAATGTGTATTGGAAATATT